GGAGGAGGAGGAGGGAGGATGGGGGAGACGAGGAGGAGAAAGGAGGCGGCGGAGGAGGACAAGGGAGGAGGAAAGCGTGGATGAGTTCTATTGTATATTTAGACCTGGGATATCTCAATGATTTCTTTTTTTTTTTCCCCGTTTGTGCGGGCGTAGCCGCAGTGGCTTTACTTGTGCGAGTAGAAGTAGGTAGTAGTGGACCTTGTCCTTCGCTCTCTGAAAAGATAGCCCCTCCTCTCAATGGGCGTCTCTAGACTACTCTCGACATGCACAAAAGACAAGAATAATGGCGGTGTAATCTCTCCATTGCTTTTTCTTTTTTTTAATCTTCTCCCCCCCCACCCCCCCCCACCCCACAATCTTTCCATGTTCTAGCGGAAAATTCACTCTCGTTTTGCACGTTTTTGATAATAGTGGAGAGAGGTCCAGTGTGCTAAAGGAGGGCAGTCAGTCAGGCATTAGCAACACTAACAGTTTGCAGAATCCCCTGACGAGGCTTTGAGTCATAACCTTTTTTTTTTTTTTTTTTTTTTAGCAGAAGCAACATGCTTTCATGATGAGCACGGATGTGGCTGCTACATGGTTCCCCGTAATACTACTATAATGACAATAAAAAAGGCTTGAAAGGCCGTCCTGTCCAGATTCGACAGGTAATTGAATTGGTTGGGCTTAAAGAATTACCCTTGAAAAAAAAAACAAAAAAAAGAACGATTTTCCCGCCAAAATAATAAAAACAAGATAACCGAGGCTGGTGCCCATGTCCCACTTTTGATGAGCACTGATGTGGCTGCTACGGGCCCTTTGTTCTGGTTTCGAGTGTACATGGATGGCTCCTTGCCATCCGTCCGATCTGAAAATCTCACGGCCCTACTACTGTCTTCCCCCGAACACAACGCACCCTCATTTTTTATGTGTATCTGGCCGGAAATATAGCTTGTATACATACATTTTTAGGGTGCGTTATGTTCGGGGGAAGACGGTAGTAGTGTGACCACGTTGGAAAATACACAAAACAAACATACCTTTCTCGACCTTTTGGCTAAGATAAAGTGTAGTATCTGTTCTGATCAGTTTAATATCTGATCCGTGGCTCATCGGGTCACACACACACACACACACACAAAAAAAAAAAAAAAAAAAAAAAAAAAAACACGAAACAAGCATACATAAACTAACCCCCCGCTTGTGGCGCACGGCCCGGCGAAACGTCACAATAACCCCCCTTGGAACAAGGTGCTGGAAGCATCATCCAGGTTGGCTACCTTACGGGGGATTAATCCCCAGCGGCCTCCCATATATGGATGGCTATACTCTGCCCCTTTTCCCTTGTAAGCTGTCGGACTGGTGGAAGGAGAAGTGGAACCATAAGCTGGGCATCGTTTGCCATGGTCTCAAGAATGAATGCTCTATGCTATGATGATGGGTTCCATGCAAGTCTTCTCCACTGACAAGTCTTCTCCACTGACTGGCTTTTTTAGCCTTGGCATGCAGAGGAGCTCGTATCCTGGAAAAAGTGCTTTAGACGGCTCCTATCGTAATCAATCAACCTTCAAAAAAGAGCCAATGTCCGTCCAGGAACTATCTGCTGCTGCCGCTGCTGCTGCTAAGGCTCTTATACCTCTTGAACCAGATTCTTTAAGCAGGACACCAATACAGCGTGACTGCCACTGACTGGCACAGTCTGCTCCGTTTCAAGCATGTCCGGGGAAAAACGGCTTCTGGTTTCCAGCAAGGAAAAACCACTTCTGGTTTCCCCAGTTTTCTCCAGACATGGGCAAAAACTACCACTGCCACTACCACTACCACTACCACTCCGACTCCGACTCCCACTACCACTACCACTCCCACTACCAGTACCAACTTTGTGACGATATCTGCAGACGGCAACGTGGAATTTTCTGAGTGGCTTCGGGTCTGGGAAGAGTAATATCATGGGAGTGGCTTCGGTTAGTCTCTGGAAGTTTAGGTCGCTAAACTTCCAGTCTCTGGTTAGGCAGCGCTGGCTGTGTTAGCGGCGGGAAACTGCTCTCGGATAAGCAGTGTGCTTATCAAAAGGGGCCGTAGATGCAGCAGCAGTGTGTTCCTTTTAACTATCTTATATTACATTGGATTCTCTTATCGAGGTTCCGAAATTAGTGAAATGAAACCGGTAGCAGTCTTGTAGGGATGATGACTAAAGCTTTGTTTATATGAAGAAGGGGTTGTGTAGGCATTTAGGAGAGTAGAGTGTGCTCTGTTTAGACCGCCCAGGTAGCTTAGAGGTAATCTGAGAGTAACCCTGTTTTTTTTAGCGTACTGGATTGGCTGCTCTTTGTGGGTTTCGGGTCCCTTCGCGGTCCTGTGAAAAGCGAAACTGGGTAGGGACCTGTGAAAAGCCAAACTGGGTGCAGGCCGCACTCATATATACATCTTTTCTAATATTAGCCTTGAGCACTGGGCCCTTAAAAAAAAAAAAAAAAAAAACAGCGGCACTCCCATGGTCAAGGCCGCAACCTACTCCTCGAGTACCAACCGGGCCCAAGGGGTCTGTGTAGGGCCCTAATACTACCCTAGTAATACTACCCTACACTGACTACTGTAGCCCTAAAGTAGAGTACCACTACACTAAGTTCTTAACCTAAATCTAAACTAAGAGTTAAAAGCGACGGCGGTTCAATCCCCATGGGCCTCGTGTAGCTTCCTTGGCAAGCTTGGCGGCCGCCACATAGAGATCGGCCCTTGTTGGTACCCCCGAGTGGCATTGAGCAGCAGAGACTGCTGATGTTCATAGGGACCGGAGTGGAGGCACAACGTCTGGCCCATAGAAGAAGCTCGGTCCTGATGCTACCGGCTGACGGCTGGCAGGTATCGCCCACGTGCTGTAGCAGGTATCGCCCACGTGCTGTAGCAGGTATCGCCCACGTGCTGTAGCAGGTATCGCCCACGTGCTGTAGCA